ATATATATATATATATATATAAAGGTGTTTTAAACCCTTCCCACACTCTTGCAATATTCTAAAGAATGTTTCTAAACTCTAAACGCTCTAAGAGCACAGAATGTCATGAGTTCAGCTCCCTGCCTCCTCTGCTCTTTACCACCTGCAAGCACTCTTGGCCACGCCCACTTCTCCATTTTATTTTTATTTTTTTATTTTTCAGTTTATTTATATAGTGCCAAATCACAACAAAGTTGTCTCAGGGCACTTTACAGGAACATTCACATACATAAAAGCTGCATGGAGAACAGGTGATCAGCTGTTCAGCTGCAGCAGGAAGTTCATCCTGCAGCAGTATGGGCTGCACAAATGTGCAGCAGGTGCTAAATAATTTAAAATAATTTATCTTAAATAAAAATTCCATGCTGATTGTGCGGCTCATCCATCAATCAGCCGATTGTGTGTCATGTTCAAACTTATTTTGAAAAACTGCGATAGAGCGAGTCCGCGAGAACCACGAAGAAGCGAGGGCCTACTGTATTTTCTGTTCTAAACTGCTTGAAATTGAACTTAAAAGTAAATAAAACATATCCTTTACAAAAGTAGGCCTACTCAGTAAGATATTAGAAACTTTGATTTATATACAGTTTTGCTATGTGTAGCTTTTAGCTACTGTTTAGATAATTCAACTCTTTAGCTACCGTTTTGTTATTCGCAACCTTTTGCAACCATTTTGCTCATTTGAACGTTTAGCTACAATGTTGCAGCCTTTAATTACTGTTGCTCAAATTTAACCTTTATTTGTAGCTTTTAGCTACTGTATTGGTAATTTTGTCTCGTATTTAAAGTTTTGTCATTTAGGAAGTGGTGGTGCAGAGGTTAGAGAAGGTGGGCCTGTGATCAGAAGATCGCTGGATCAACTCTCGGTACAGACAACATCAAAATGTGGGTGGGATAGGTGAAGCACCCACACCTGCCTCCACCCTCATTTGCTCCACTCTGGTCCCTTGAGCAAGGCACTTAACCCCCACCATCTGCTCTCCTGGGCGCCCCAGATTGCAACTCTCTGCTCCACACAGTGGGCTGTGGTAGCTCGGTGGTCTGTGGTTGTGTTAGGAAGGGCATCCGGCGTAAAAAATAAATGCCAAGTCTTCATGCGACTTAGTTCACTGTGGCGACCCCTGAAGAAGGGAGCAGCCGAAAGAAGAATTTTTTTTTTTTTCAAGTTTTGTCATTTGTATCTTTTAGCCACTGTTTAGTTAATATGAACTGCAGCTACAGTCTCGTATTTTGTAGCTTAGCTAATTTACCATTTTAGCTGCAGTTTTGCTACTCAAAGCTTTCACCTATGATTTAGAAAATTTTAGCTTCTATCTATATTGTTGGCTAATTTTAGTTTTGGCTAGGTTTATGCTAATTTTAGGTTCATCTATAATTTTGGTCATTTTAATTTTTAACTGAACAAAAATATAAACGCAACACTTTTCTTTTTGCTCCCATATTTCATTAGCTGAACCCAAAGATCCAAGACTTTTCCTACGTGCACAAAAAGTCTGTCTCTCAAATGTTGTTCACACAGCTGTGGCCACAGTGGCCTTTTATTGTGGTCATCCTAAGGCACACAATAATCTGATCATCAGCTTGATATGCTGCATCTGTGAGGTGGATGGATGATCTCGACTAAGGAGAAGTGCTCACCAACAGATTTACACAGATGAATCTGAGAGAAAAAGACTTTTTGTGTTCATAGAAAAAGTTGTAGATCTTTGAGTTCAGCTCATGAAAAATGGAAGCAAAAACAAAAATGTTGCATTTCTGCTTTTGTTTGGTGGATGTTGTAGCTAATTTTAGTGTTTAGCTTTTGTTTTTGCTTTTTTTAGGTAGAAAAAATAATTAATTTGAGGTTGTAGCCACAGTTTAGCAAAAGCTAGCTTCAGGCTCGTGTTTTGCTGATCTGGATTCCTGCTGTGTTTTCTGTGGAAACAGGATTCCTCCAGTTCTTTTTGCGACGCTACCTTGACCCGCTCCTTGCAGAGGAAGTACGCGGTGGCATGCAGGACGTCGGCTGCGTGGGTGGAGTTATGGTAGGAGTTGCTGGAGTGGTAGTTAGCTTCTATCACTTGGAGCCACGAGCGCAGAGTCGCTTCAGGGCAGTTCAGGAACTCACAGACCCCGAAGCGGGAGAAGATCTTCAGGCCCAGGAAAGTCAGAGGCCTGTGGGACGATTCAGAGGAACAAGTTAACTTTTATTCTCACCGTAAAAAATCATAACCATCTTTTTACAAGCTGCACCTCTTCAAGGTGGCAGCCTCCAAGTTAAAGATGTCAAAGTCCCACGAGTCCTCGGTCTCCATGGTCTGAGCGATACGAGGGGGGATGTCGTTTAAAGACAGGGGCGTCGTCAGGTGGCTGGGGAGGTGGTGGGGCTCTGAGAGGAAAACAAAGCTTTCAAATGATAAACGCCTCCATCTCTGGCTGAACCACAGGAAATAAATGACTAGCGCGGAGCTGGAAAACATGAGGTTCTGCTCGGGCCCGGCTGTGTGGACTCACGCTTTGTGGAGAGGATGTACTCGTTTCCTGACAGCCTGCGCAACCCGTCCTGCGAAGAAGAGAGACAGACAGGAGGTTTCAGGGGCGAGAAAGAGCTGCCTGGTAACATCAAAGGCCCTAGAGAGAACCTGGACATGGTTCTGGTTCTGACTAGAGAACCTGGACATGGTTCTGGTTCTGACTAGAGAACCTGGACATGGTTCTGGTTCTGACTAGAGGGGTTGAACTGAACAGAAATCAGCATGGACACATAGCAGCATTGGGGCATTTAGTATGAATTATGCAGCAGAAAGCTGAAAAAAATATATATACACATATGTGTATTTATATACATATACATATATATATATATACCCATATATATATACATATATGTATATATATACATACATACATATATGTATGGATGTATGTATATATACATACATTCCATACATTACATTCCTCCGGACGCTAATGCTAATGAATCACTACAGGAGCTTCATGATATCATCAGCTCGCTGCAGAGCAAACACCCCGAGGCTCTTTACGTTGTAGCCGGAGACTTTAACCACGTGAATCTAAAGGACTGTCTCCCAAGCTTTAATCAGCATGTGACGATTCCGACACGTGGAGACCGCACGCTGGACCGTGTTTACACGAACGTAAAAAATGCATACAAAGCCGAACCCCGCCCCCACCTAGGACTGTCAGACCACATCTCAATCTTCCTGGCTCCTGCTTACATGCCCCCGCTGAGACGCTCCAGACCGGTACAAAAGAAAGTTAAATGCTGGATCCAGGACAGTGGACCCATACTGAGAGATTGTTTTGATCGAACAGACTGGCAAGTTTTCAGAGAAGCTGCTGAAAATGGAGGTTCGCTTGATCTTGACCAATACACATCCTCAGTCCTGGGTTACATTAGTACATGTACTGACACCGTCTCCACTATCAGAAATGTTAAAAGCTACCCAAACAGAAAACCTTGGCTGAATGCAGAGGTGCGTACCCTGCTGGAAGCCAGGAACACTGCCTTCAGGTCTGGAAACTCAGAGGAGCTGAGTAGGACAAGAAAAGAGCTGGTTGCTGGTATTAAGAGGGCCAAGGCCACATATGCAAAGAGGATCGAGGGTCAATTCATCTCACAAGACCCTCGGAGCATGTGGAGGGGCATTAAGTGCATAACAGATTATAAAGGAAGGAGTGAACAATGCCCCAAAGACCCATCTCTGCCTGATGCCCTCAACAAGTTTTATGCACGCTTTGAAGACCCGAACAGACCACCCAGCACCAGACTCACCTCGCCACCGGATGAAGAGCATCTCAGCGTGACCTCAGCAGAAGTAAGGAGTACCTTCAGGAGGATTAATCCGCACAAAGCAACTGGCCCAGACAACATCCCCGGAAAAGTGTTGAAGGAATGTGCTGATCAGCTCTGTGAGGTGCTGGCAGACATCTTTAACACCTCACTTACCCTGGAGACAGTTCCCACCTGCCTGAAGACTGTCACCATCATCCCAGTCCCAAAAAGCTCTACAGTGACTGGTCTGAATGACTATCGGCCAGTGGCCCTCACCCCGATAGTCGCTAAATGCTTTGAAAAACTGGTCATGACTCGCATCAAAACAACCATCAACATCAATGAGGACCCTCATCAGTACGCATACCGTGAGAACCGATCAACAGAGGATGCAATCTCCTCTGTGGTCCACACTGCGCTCAACCACCTGGAGCAGAAAAACTCTTACGTCCGTATGCTCTTTGTGGACTTCACATCCGCCTTCAACACCATGATCCCCCAAACCCTGATGGACAAACTATTCACACTAGGACTAAGCCCCTCCATCTGCAACTGGGTACTAGACTTTTTAACAAACAGACCACAGTTAGTGAGGATCCACAACCTCTCCTCCTCCACCATAACCCTCAGCACTGGCTCTCCTCAGGGATGTGTGTTGAGCCCCCTTCTGTTTACTCTGCTCACATATGATTGTGCAGCTACCCATCCAGGCTGTCACATTGTAAAGTTTGCAGATGATACAGCAGTGGTGGGATGCATCACAAACAATGATGAGTCCAGCTACAGACAAGAGGTGGAACACCTGGAGAGCTGGTGCAGAGAGAATAACCTTCACATCAATGTGAAGAAGACAAAGGAGATGATTGTGGACTTCAGAAGGAACAAAAACACCTACACCCCCCTGAACATAAGAGGATCTGCGGTGGAAGCGGTCTCCAGCTACAAGTACTTGGGTGTACACATGAATGACAACCTCAGCTGGAGCAACAACACCACCAGCCTGATCAAGAAAGCTCATCAGAGACTCTACTTCCTCAGACGGCTGAGGCGAGCTGGTCTGGGAAGCTCAGTCCTCACCTCCTTCTACAGGTGTGCAGTGGAGAGCATCCTGTGCTCCAGCATCAATGTGTGGCATGGAGGCTGCACAGCTGCAGAAAGAAAAGCTTTGCAGAGAGTGGTGAAGGCTGCACAGAAATCTGT